AAACCAGTCCATTTTAGCTCACTGATGCCTAGGATATTGATCTTTATGTGTCCTGTTTCATTTTTGACAACTTCTAATTTTTCTAAATTCATACTTCATACCTTCCACATTCTGATTATTAACAAATGTTTGCAGCTGTTTCTTCCCATTTTGAATTGTGCCCCATCAGCCAATAAAGATCCTGAAAGCTTTACTCCATCTATGTAATTAAGGTCAACTCTATTTTGAGGACAAAGCTCTTCTCCATTCATATTTTGAGTGCCTTCTAACCTGAGGGGCTCATCTTCCAGCACTATATCAGACAACGTTTAATGGCTCTTCATAAAGTTTTCCAGTAATATATCGGGAGTGCTTCACTCCTATACATAATGTTTTAGTAATCAATTCTTTCAGAAGTGGATTACTCTGCCTTTCTTTCCAGTCTATCTTAGTCCAGAAGTTCCACTGAAACCTGCCCACCGTGGGGTGACCCTGCTGGTATTTGACATACTGTTGGTATAGCATTTAGCCTCATATCAACACACAAGCCACCACAGTACAACAAATTGACAGACAAGTGGTGGTTTATTCTTTAAATATATAGAGTAATAATGAAAGGAGCTGTTTTGAGGGATCCACAATTTTTAATAATTACTATTATGTGCTAAGCATAGTTTTAGAAATAATAACATGTATAATTTTATTTAATGTTCACAACAACCCAAAGTGGCAGGTACTTTTGCATGTTTTCACACATGAGGAAGCTAAGTCTGAAACTTTTTAAATTATTTACCAAAGGTACACTACCAGTAAATGCTACATGTTTAGATACAAGATTTTAGAGTAATTTATTTCAAAGTCCATATATATTCCCATAGTAAGTTATACTACATTCTACCTTTTCAATCCAATTGGATAAATAAAAATAAATTTCATGTATATAAATATATATTAGTATCTTTGTCTGGAGATATAAACACATGCACCTATAAAGGAAGAGAGCGAGAGCTCTGGTTGCATAGTGGGTAAGGCATTTGACTGCTAACCAGATGGCTGGTGGTTCAAAAACCCACCAGCTGCTCCATGAGAGGAAGATGAGGCAATCTACTTCTATAAATATTTACAACCTGGGAAACTTAATGGGGGTCATTATGAGTGAGAATCAATTCAATAGCAGTGCGTTTATATCTATGTATGTGTTATATTCAATGAGAAGAAAAGATAGATCCATGTTAAACAACTTTATTTTTACCTTTAGAATATCTCCTTCAAACAGCTGAAAGCTTCGGGCTCTGAGGTGGATCCCCTTGCCAGCTTCTGTTTCTATTTTATAGATACACTCATGGTTATTATCATAATTTGATGGGAAATTTGGAGACAGTAATGTTCCTTCATTTCCTTTGACACTTGCTCCACATTCAGCTAAAATAAATAGGACATTAAAAAAAAAA